GGCTTTTATGCTTTTATACTATGTACAGGGACAGTATTTAAAGCAAGTATTTTAATAAAAGAAGCATACAATGCATACAACATACAACACTATGCTGGTGTTCAACTGGTGTCAATCTATTCCTCCTCTAGCTTTCCATTTCCCTCCCCCATTTTGGGGCTTGATAAGGAGAGTGAAAGAAAAAGGGGAAGAGGCTGGAATTTACTAGTGGGGTCAGCACAGTTTGACCGCCTCCTCAGCCAAACCCCTGCTGTTGGAGGAAGAAGCTCTCTCAGGTTTTTTGCCCAGTCCTTCCCCAGAGACCAGGGTTTCTCCACTGACAACTGATCTCCTCCTTTCCCTCTGGGGACTTGGGTGAAGCTTTTTGCAGCCAGCCAGGTGCCCACTTCCTGTTTCTAGGTCTTGGATGGAGCTCTCCTTCCTCCTTCCACTTCCTTTCTTCCAGGGAAACTCATTTCTTAACTGCTCTGCACACATAACTTCTCGCTCCAACCTTTCTCTCCACCCATTCTGTTCACTCCATTTTCTGCAAACTCCTCCTCCTTTGCCCTCCTCCTGCTTCTTCTTCCTCCTCTTTCTGCATCTCTTCCACTTTGTCCTCCTTTTCTCCTTCTGCTCCTCCTCCTTCTGCTTTTCCTCCTCCTCCTTGTCCTCTCCCTCTTCCTCCTTCTGCTCCTCCTCTTCCTCTTGCTTCTCCTCCTCCCTGCAATTTTTAGGTTGACTGGCACCATGTCCCCCAGCAACTGGATTAGATGATTGTCCCTCCCTGCCCGAGGGCTGTAGTCCTCACCACTTATATACCAGACTGGACCAACGGGATTGCTATCTTTACATTTCCCCATAACAGCCCTGCTAGCAGCCAAATCAGTGCTCATGACAGTACAGGTGCCATTTAAGATCACAATTTAGCTTCTTTTTCCTTTTTCCTCATTCTATAAATGCCAGAAAAACAGCAGCTATGCCAGGCCATTAAAACCCATATGCCACAAAGCATTTTGATCTTGAACTTCTTTAAAACAGATTGTCAGTATCAGAGCAGAAGATAATGCCACAAATGTTGCTGATTGAAATCCAAAGATGAAAGGAAAGCACAACACAACAACAAAACGCCTTAAAAAACAAACAAGCAATCAAACTCTATAATTGCAGATGTATCCTAAATTCATCTGACCTTGTAATTCTTTTTTTAAAAAATCCTAAGTGTTGAATATTGACCAAGCCTATCCAATATTTTTCCCAAAGGGAAAGATAATGTGACATTATCTGATTAACCTAATACATCATTTTCTCTTATGAAGAGAAGTAGCATTGACATTGGTTTAGGTGCAGGATGCTCAATGCTTTTCATCCTTAGAAACTGAATTACTATTAAAACACAGGCGAAAGAACAGTTTAGCCACAGTCTACTCCGATGTAAAAAAAGCTCATTCTCAAACCTTGAGCAAAACTATACCGTAGCCATTGGTGCTGAGATCAGATGTTAAATTTAAGAGGTAATGGCTTCTAATGGACTTTTGATTATATAAGACTTTCTCCAAAAGTGCAGAAAGAGTGACTAAGGCCAGAAGCTTTCAAAAAATGAAATGGGAAAGACAGTATCAATGTGATATACTGTATGAGCATTATAAAATGGCATTTCTGGGGCTAATCTCTACAGTTCTGAAGTTTAAGGGTTTGGGACAATTTCCATTACAATCTGCATAACAGATTGTTGAGAAGTTTTCTCCCAATCCCAGCAATTGTAATTCTGTAATACAGGGACGCGGTGGCTAAGACGCTGAGCTTGTCGACAGTTCAGCGGTTCGAATATCCTAGTGCCGCGTAACAGGGTGAGCTCCCGTTACTTGTCCCAGCTTCTGCCAACCTAGCAGTTCAAAAGCATGTAAAAAATGCAAGTAGAAAAATAGGGAACACCTTTGGTGGGAAGGTAACAGCGTTCTGTGTGCCTTTGGCATTTTGTCATGCCGATCACATGACCACAGAGACCTCTTCGGACAATGCTGGCTGTTCGGCTTTGAAACAGAGATGAGCACTGCCCCCTAGAGTCGGGAACAACTAGCACATATGTGCGAGGGGAACCTTTACCTTTACCTTAATACAGGGATGAATAATTTGTCTTCAACCGAGGCCCAGCCTTGACTTTTGATTGCTCTGCCAAGGGCCATGTTCACAGTCACTGGACTGAAGGCAAAGTATTTCATGAGCTGGACCCATAAAAGAAAACTGATAAGGTCATTTCCCATACATTTAATTATTTTCTGCCATACATTATTAATGTTACCATTTAAGACGACGTTTGGAGTTGATCCATGGTCCGGTTGCCATTCTACCGGTTTAGGTTGTGCAGATTCTGCTTTAAAATCTAACTTTCGGATTTTTGAAAGATCCCTGAGCATGGTTTTGAATTCAGTTTTAGATTTCAATTATCTTCCACTTTTTAAAATTTTGCATCTCCACCAAGTACACTGTAACCATTTGTGACACTGGATCTCACATCGGTACAGGTGACCAGTAGCCATTTCCATAGCAATTTCTAGTTGTAGACTGACCCCCTTCTCAAGAGATCTAGGCCTCCTCCCACTTTGGTTGGAAGAACTCAAGGGCAAGTGTGAGAAACTGACAGCCTTGATTTGCCTATATGTTCTCTATTTGGAAACTGAAACATTTGCTGGAATTTAAAATTTTAGAGAAACTCATTCCCTAGGTCAGGATTCTCCAAAGGGATCGATAAAAGGTAAAGGTAAAGATTCCCCTTGCACATATGTACTAGTCGTTCCCAACTCTAGGGGGTGCTGCTCATCTCCGTTTCAAAGCCGAAGAGCCAGCACTGTCCGAAGATGTCTCTGTGGTCATGTGGCTGGCATGACTAAACGCCAAAGGCGCACTGAATGCTGTTACCTTCCCACCAAAGGCGGTCCCTATTTTTCTACTTGCATTTTTTACGTGCTTTCAAACTGCTAGGTTGGCAGAGGCTGGGACAAGTAACAGGAGCTCACCCTGTTATGTGGCACTAGGGATTCGAACTGCTGAACTGCCGACCTTTTGATCTACAAGCTCAGCGTCTTAGCCACTGAGCCACCGTGTCCCTTTTAAAGGGATCAATACTGACCCCCAAAGGCCAATGGGACTATCCATTGTTGTTGTTCATAGTTAAAATCGTTAAATAGTATTCATTAAATTATTTTCATATGATAAATGTTTGAGGGTTAATGAACTATCTATAACTTCACGAAGAGGTTGATGAGCTGAAGAGTTTCAGGACTCCTGCCATAGATTATTTTCCAGTTCAGGTACCTGTCAAAGAAGCCTGACGCCATTTCTCTCTTTTTTTTTTTTCATTTGCCTTCTTCTCCAACTAAGTTACATGTCACATTCTTACCACTTACATCAAAACCCAGATCCATGGACCTTTACCCTTATTAACTTCCTGGCTCATCAGAATGGAAAGAAGAGTTTTCTAAAAAGGAAGTTTTTCTCTGCTCTTCAGCTGAGTTGCTCAGAATATCATTCTTTGCCACATAAAACATGCTTCCTTTCTAATGGAACTTATTTGAAAGACAGACAATAATGAACAGGTAATGAAAGTTACTTTCATTTTTCATGGATTGTGAGGAGGTGGCATTTTTCTGGGAACAACTCATACTTTAAGTCCCAATCTCTTTTCTGTAATGCAAGTGTATGCATTCCGCTCGGTAACTCATCCCAATATTTACCAGGTGGAATGTCTCGAATAAACAGAGCTGATGTCAATAATACATCCCCTCCTTCTTATTTTATCTGGTCTTGTGCTTTTCACATCTTAGCAAGATCCTAGACAGCAATCTCCTTTTTGCTTTGGCAGCAGTTTTCCATAGGTCTGTTAATAATCACACATCTCTTACAAAGAAGAATGAAAATAATTAAACAGCTGAACACTGAAAAGATCCAGAACAAGGATATAAAACAGTGTTCTCCAGTTTATCTTAGTAAGCTGAGCTTCAGAAGAGTTTTATAAGCATCTAATAGTTTTAGATATATGGTTACAGCCAATAATTCAGATGAGGCAGGAGTAGCTAGAAACTGGCTGATAGGAACTCAAATCTTTATCTCTCCAGCTTATTCAATATTGTCTATTACATTGATCAGCAACAATGTTCCATAATTTTGAGGTCCCCCCCCCCAATTAATCTGATGGGAGGCCAGAAAGGTTATACTTCTTTGATCTACAGAAAAAAGAATATTTACTGAGCTGCAGAACTAAAAAAAAAAGGTAATGTTGATTGTAGAATTCTTGGTTAGTATGATAGTTTACATACACACAGTGGAGTAAATTTTCACTGTCAGCTCTCAGACAAAGCTCCTAAATGTAAAATGCAAACATTTCTGAAAATAATTTTACAGATATATAGCAAAACATCAATCAAATTAATTTTGATTCCATGTAACAGTGCTTAGAACCTAGGCTATACCTCACATTCAACTGTCTCCTTCCCACATTAACTATCACTTGCATGAGGGCTAAGAAAATATCCAAAGATAAATAATTATGAATCTGGAATTACCCATTCATAATGGCAACATGTAAAACATGAATGGTTGTAAATGGTTTTGATTTCATTGTGCTGTGCTCTATTTTGACATGGTATTAGTCTGTGCATCTTCAGGTGCCCCTGGAAATAATACCTGGTGATCCTAGATGAATATTCACCATACAATATATTTCTGCAAAGAATAAGGGACAGATGGCTACATATTTGCATTACACATATGGAATTTCCCAGCCCATTTTTAAATACTGCATAGGCAGATCATTGAATGTGAAGTTTCCTCTAAGCAGAAATGAGTTTGCATTCCCATTAGAGCAGATCCAGGTAAAGAATGGATTGTTCTTATATAATGAACAATTATGCAAAAAGACTTATTTAGCTGGTGAAGAACCATCTAGTTAAAATTGAAATATCCTCACTGATTAATTCAGAAACCTGCTAAAACCTTTGAAGTAAGAAAGACTTCCACAAAAATAATTGTCAGTATCTTTATTCATACTCAACTTGCTTTCAAACTATCATTACTATTTAACAAAAAAAAAAGTCATGCAAACAAAGTTTAATTGTTAAGTTTAAGGAAAAAGTGCAACAATTTGTACATTAGTCTCGTCCATTTTTAAAAACATCTTCTCCCAGCAAATGAATGGCCTTTCCATTTACTTTACAGTACCATGCAATTATTAAATAGTTAGAAAACATTTTTCTGTCTTCCAAATAGAAATATTGAGCCTTAAAATAGTATCATATATAAAATGTAAAACTTGATTGGTTTGACTTTTGTCCAAAGAGAGAACGAGAACACAGCAAATATGATGAGTTATCATTCTTTCATGCGAAAAATTCATAGTATAGAAGCTATAAGATACCCCTTCTATGTGGCACTTGGATCTCAGGCTTTAAATTGACAAAAATTACATCACATTTTTATTAAATTGGATTGTGTACACCTTCTAAGCAATAAAAAGAAATAAAAGCTCTGAAGTTTGCTGTTTGGGGCATTGATTACAGTAGAAACAAATCCTAGGCCTAAATTCTGTATAATAAGTATAAGCAACCTGTCTTATCTTAAATGAGATAGTCATGAATTGGTTAAAATTAACATTTTGATTCAATCCACATGGGAGCTGGAGTGGAGGGAGGGATGCAGGTACATCTATAGATTTTCAGACACAGTTAGAGATGTTTGTACTTGCAAAAGGCTTTTTTGCTTTTTTTTTTTGTTCAATTGTGTCTGATTCTCAGAGTGCCTGGGCCAGTACCTGTGGTTTTCTTGGCAAGGTTTTTCAAAAGTGATTTGCCAATGCCTCCTTCCTAAGGCTGAGAGAAAGTGACTGGCCCAAGGGCATTGAGTTGACTTTGTGCACAAGGCAGGATTAGAATTCGCAGTTTCCTGGTTTCTAACCCCATGCCATAACCACTATACCAAACTGGCTCTCTGTAAAAGGCTTAATCACTCCCTAAGAAGGAAAGATGGATTGCAGTGGAAAGCTTGAGGCACACTCAGAGGAGATGGGGTGTCTTGTTAAAAACGGGTGGATGTATGTATGTTATTTGCATACTTTACCCCAAAATCTCCTTCACAGAGATTGTCATGAGGTTTGCATAGGAGAAATTCCCTGTGATTTTTGTAAAAATTTGGATATCAAATCAAAATGGATTCAGGCTGTCTCTCAATATACACAATATGACACTCTTTACACCAGTTGTTGAGAATAATCAAATCAGTCTTTGACAATGATCAGAAGACACCTAATTACCTCTGAGCAAAACTGAGTTCTCCAGTTTTTTTGTCTTGTCACACTAATTTTTATGATGATGTAAATGTGCAGTTTGCTTAGGGTTTGAAATAAAGTGATTTAATTTCTGTTGATGGGAATAGTTGCCTTCAAAAATCCTCCCACCTTCTGTGTTTCATGAAATCTTGCCTTAAAATATATGGTGTCCAATTTCTTGATCCGGACAATATGCTAGAACACTCCATTATGCTTTTGCCTAAGCAAAGTTTAAACCCCTTTAATAGAAAACTGCCTTTAGCAAAAGCTGCATCTTGCAACATCTGCACAGAACTTCGCTTGGCAAGAGCTAAAGTATTTCAGATCATGTATGAGACACATATTGGGTTACACATTTTTTTTCTCACCAGTACTATTAAAAGTTGTATAAAAAAGTACAAATAGCACAGCATATTCAGCAAAATATGTAAATTGTTGGATTCTCTATTAAAAATTTAATACTTGGTTTTTTTTAACCTTAGAAGTGCAGCAAGAATAATAACCAAACAGACCTCACAGTAGACTGTAAGGATAATAATTATTATCCCCATTTTACAAATGAGGAAATTGAGGCAGAAAGTTTCATACCTTGCCCAAGGCCACAAAGGGAATCATTGGCAGATTTGAGAAAAGGGAGTCCATTATTCCTAGATCCCAGACTTGTAATATAGCTATGAAAACACCTATATTGTCTCCACTACAGGTAATCCTCGACTTACGATCACAATTGACTCCAAAATTTCTGTGGCTAAGCAAAATAGTTGCTAAGTGAATTTTGCCCCATTTTACGCCCTTCCTTGCCAGAGCTGTTAAATGAATCACTGAAGATGTTCAGTTACTAACACCATTGTTAAGTGAATCTGGCTTCCCCATTGACTTCGCTTGTTAGGAGGTCACAAAAGGCGATCACATGACCCCAGGATGCTGCAACCATCATAAATATATGCCAGTTGCCAAACATCCAATTTTTGATCATCTGACCAAGGGATGCAGCAATGGTCGTAAATGTGAAAAAGGGTCATAACTCACTTTTTTCAGTGGCACTGTAACTTCGAATGATCACTAAATGAACTGTTGTAAGTTGAGGACTACCTGTAAATATTTTAATATCCCAAGAGATCTTTTATTGGCAGGCATTATAAGGTGGCATAAATGCCAAGCTTCATTGACACAACTATTTACTGATAAAGTGATAAAACAATGAGCAGCATTAAATCATTATCAATTTTAAATATTTCAGATATTGTAATTTTGGATTTGCTTCCTACATTGCAAATTAACAATTGGGGGGTGTTTTTAAGGGGGGTTGAAAACAATAGAAATGGAATTTTTGCAATTTAACACATTTTACAGATGCAATGACAGCTGTCATAACTATTTAATACTCAATATAATTTCATTCTTTCCCACCCTCCCCCTCCCAATTTCTATATTGAAAATAAAATATTTTATCTCTAAAATAACGTATAAAGTTTGGTTCAGGACTCTTAAATGGATATGAATACATTTGACTCATGCAATATAAGCTTAGACTCACAAGCAGCCCATGCTAAATATGTTAAGCACTTGAGTTGTGCTCCTACACATTTCTTCATTGGACAGATCCAGTGGTGGGTTGCTCCCGGTTCGGTCTGGTTCTTGCGAACCGGTAGTAATGGCGGTGGGAGGCTCCGCCCACCTGTCCGGACGTCATCATGGACGTTCTGCACATGTGCAGAAGATTCTGGGCATGCGCAGAAGCGCACATGCTCCCGTTGCGAACCGGTAGTAAGTGGAACCCACCTCTGGATAGATCCTTCTGGAGTAAACAGGGGGCAGGAAAGAGGGGCAGAGGGGGGTGATGGGCTGATGATGCCCTAATTATATCAAAGTATTACTTTGGCAACCTTCAAAAGTGTATTCTTATAAGATGTTCCGTTGGTCTCATTTTGCATACAAGATTATTCTGAAATCGAACCAATACTTTGTTCTGTGAAAAGATGCTTTCTAAATTGATGATACTGTATACAGTCTTAGCTCTTAAGTCAAGTAAAGATTGCTTTAATTCCACATACTGTTAAGACAAACTGGAAAACCTATCTGCTATGTTGGTTGATCTATTTTAGTTTCTAGAAAGCCCACTGACAAAGCAGCAAAATGGAAGTTACACACAGAACGTAAGCACTTGGGTGAGGAGAAGTGCTACTCTTTAATTAATTAGTTAATAACTGAAAACAAAGCAAAGGGATTAGAGTCCCTATAGGTTGCTTTTGAGGGACCTAATTCAGGAGCTAAATTCTAGGGATTGTAAAGCCCTGCTCTAGCAAAGCCATCCTGAACCAGATACTTAGACAAAACCCAAGTCTGAAGGGTTTAAAAAGCAAACGTATAGGCCTAAATTAACTCAGAGGGCTAAGAAAGAGGAGACACTAGCCATGACTATTGCCTTGCAAGGACAAACTATATGGCACCAATGATAAAGTGTCTTAATGCCAGTAATTCAGATTTTAAAACAGGAAGTTAATAACGATGTAACTATTCCTACAAATTTAGCAGGAGGCTAGAGAAGCCCAAGCAACCAAACTGTTTTGTGGTGGGAGATGAAAGAGGTGTCTACAATTACGCAGGAGCTGAAGCAGCTGATTAGGGAGACGTGGTCGTTTTTCCCTCCCTCAAAATATTAGAGCATAATATCAGCATCCATCACTGATGGAAATGGAGGACAAGAAAAGTCATCCCACAACACAAATACAAGTATGGGATGTGGCAGAACATGCAGCAACACCCAACACTGATTGTTTTGAAAAGGATATTAGAAAAATTCACGGAGAGTGAGGCTCTTAATGATTACTAACACAACAGCCCAATTTGACCTCAATACATCTTTATTTATTTTCTTATTTAATACTAATTGCTATGGAATTATGCTCTTTTGTGGGGCCAAAGTTTCATACGAGACAAATCTTTGAGCTTGAATGTGCTGGGCTCTTCTTCATGAATGAAAGCATCTTCATAGCATTGCTATGGGAAACAGCAAGAATGGAATATATGGGATTTGTGCAATGTGCACATGTGTAGATGCTCCTGGTAATGGAGTATTGTTGGGTTAATTCATTTTCATTAAAAAAAAAAAATCTTAAGCAACACCTGCTCTGGGTTTACCATTCTACTTAAGAAATTTTATCACCTCCACATCCTGTGCCTTTTAAGAATACATGGTTTTAGAGTAATGTGGGACTGGCCAATGACAAAAAATATAGCAGCAGACCTCGCCTAAAGCAAATGAATATGAGCATTTATCTAAATAAATTTAACAAGGAATGCATTTGTATTATCTAACAAAGATAATTTTTCCTATCTTACTGAAAAATAAAATGTGTGTAGAATTCATGGATCAGTTGAATGTATTTTTTAAAGGTACATTATGGCTGAAACTGAAGTATATGTTTAATGACCAAAGACTGCTTGATTTTGTCAAGATCCTGTATCCATCCTTCCTCTCTTGATATGACAACGCAGGTCAGTTTTACTGAAGTCTTCCCCGCTTCTAGGGAACAGGGAAGGAAAATTTCTAATCTTTTCTCAAATTATACTTGATTCAAAAATGTATTAAATAAGCTTGATAGACATTTGCCAGGATTTGGAAAGGGGAACGTCTGTGTTTTAAGCACGATCATCCTCTTGTTATAAACCTGGACTGTATGTGCTAACTGAATTATTAAATGATTGTAAATGGTCATTTTTTTCAAATTTTAGAACAATTTCTTAGGGATCAATTATGCAAAGTGAAAGATCAGAATGGTCACAAAGATAAGCAACTCAGCGTAAAGGTCAAGACTTTCCTGCATTATTTTTCTCACTGATGTAAGTTATGCTTTCCAGAAACTTCAGGGTTCGAAACTGCTGGTTTATTTTAAGAGAGATCAACGTCTTCCCACTGTTATTTAAGTTTTTAATGCTGAAGTTAATCTGCCACCTCCTTTATGGGGCTGCCATTTGGATCCTGAGAATACCTTCAAATGTGAATTGCAGCAAGCTGTTCTCTTGTGTGCCTATTTATAGTTCCCGAAATGTATTTCCAATATAGTCATTTTATTGGAAACAGGATAATCTCAGGGCATGGCTCTTTGGTCTGTTGTGCTTGTTGAGGACCTATTTTTAGGATAGCCCCAGATTTATTTCCTTATCTCCCAGCAGAGGCCACAACTGCTCCTAGCCAAATTTGGAAGCCCAAGAAGCTATTGAATTGAGCTACCACCCACTACTTCTCTACCTGAGTAAAGGATAATTCTGTCGCTGCATTAATATTTGGAGTATTTCCCTTCCAAGCTTCTGAGTTTATGCTTATTCATCTTGTGCACCAAGCTCTTTTGGAATTTTATTTGAAAAGGCATTTCGGCTAATTTCTTATTTTAATAGACCGCTTGCAATTAATTTTCAAAACTTTGTTTGGCAAAGCTGAATGTGCAGGTAGTCCTCAATTTACGACCATAACCGGGATCAGAATTTCCACTGCTAAGCAAGGCAATAGTTAAGTGAGTCCTGCCTGACTTTACAATCTTTTTTTTTTTTTGCCATGGTTGTTCAGTGAATCACTGCAGTTAATGTGGCCATTAAGTAAATCTGGCTTTCCCCCCCAGGTTGACTTTGCGTGTCTGGGAAGATCACAAATGGCAACGTTATAAATACACAGCAGTTGCCAAGTGCCTGAATTTTGATATGTTGGGATGCTGCAGCAGTCATAAGCACGAGGACATGTTGTAAGTCACCTTTTTTTAGTGCTTTTGTAACTCTGAATAGTCGCTAAATGAATGGGTTTAAGTCAAGGACTACCTGTAATCTCTACCATTTTACAAGGAAGACACGAGGGGGATTTTTCAATTCTTGGGAGCATACCCATGTAATGAACAAGCAGTCAGGCCTAAGCAGCATGTCTTCCTATACTGTAATTTTTTTTAACACTGCAGCAAGTCAGCAATTGATTGTACCTATATGGAGCACAAAAGCATCTTCAGAGTAGTTAAAAAAAAAAAAGGTCCAGAAGGCAGCCTGACTAAGTGATCAAAACCCTCTGTTTTTTGTCTATCACCATCTTGACTGTGATCCTTCATCCCACGTAGATGACTCAATTGACTGCCCTGTCAGTTCAATGCAACATCTTAACTGAAGGATAAAATGCCAAAGGTTAGAATCAATGGCTATTAAGCACGAGGCAACAAGGATTGTCTCGTAGGATAGGGATTATCTGGGTCACTGCTGCGTTGCATTTTTATAGTGTGTGTGTGTGTGTGTGTGTGTGTGTGTGTGGCTTTGTTGCATTTATTTGTTTGCTTCTTGTCTTGGCTCTTGCCATCAGCTATGAATTGTCAACTGAGGTAATTTAAAAGCAGACAACTCCATTTGTAGAGCTATTTTCCCCACTTCAGCTCCCCCAAGATGTGATACGATAACATCACAGTTAGGCTGAGGGCAGAGGAGTGGGGAAGGCTGTTGAATCATTTATAACACTAATGAACATCTAACAAACACTGAACAGGGGACCAAAACATAATTTCATAGCATAAATTGTGTATATCATTATTACTGTCTATGGTAATAATGGTACAATTTAAGTCCCTATGATCACCTTAAGAAGAGATTGGACAAGTATTTGTCTGTAAGGTCTCCTGTTTGAGCGGAGGGTTGGGCTAGAAGACTTCCAAGGTCCCTTCCAATTCTTGTTATTCTGTTTATTCTGGCACAAGTGCCTTCTTGAGCAACTTCTCACATTTGTTTATTTAATTTTAATAAATAAAATTTAATTTCTCATTATCTAATACTTGGATAAGAACATGCAGTACATTGTCTGGTCTATTTAGTCTACTATTGCCAGCTTTAGGAGCTAGTTGTTTTCTAGGGTCAAAGAGTGATACTATTTCCCATCACTTGCACAACAAGTCTCTAGGAATTGTTTCCATATTCTCTGGAAACAAGGCAGATGATACCATAGCCTTTCAACGTGCAAATCAGGGCCCTCTTCAGCCATGGCCTTTCCTATCTTTGCAGCCTTTTGAGGGCTTTGTAGTGGGGAAATTAGGCTATCCAAATTGATAGGATTAGGGGGAAAAAACAATATGTTGGGACAAAATTAAATTGGATTTAACTGAAATTATTATTTTCAGTTCCAAATCTACATAATTTACATTTTTGCAACAAAATTATTCGGTGGCTGCAAATCTAAACTCCAGATTTTGAGAGTCTGAATCATATGTCACGGTATCTCTGTTTGATAAAGATACTCAAATATCCCAGACTTGAATGAAATTACTCACTCATCAGATTTTGCACAAGAGGAACTTGGCATTTTGTTTCTTTCACCGTGGAAATGTTATGCAGAATGTTGGCACTTATTAATAGCGGTATTATTGCTTTACATACAAAGCAATCTACTGAAAGAGTTTGAAGCAAACTAGGATATTCTATAAACAAAATCCTTAGTTTCTTGAAGAAAGGTTTTCTACTTAGGGCGTTCATAGTAATTTTTCATTATGTTCCCCTAGATATTATTACCATGACAGATGCATCTCTCCAGTAACTTAAAGTGTGACTGAATAAAATAAAGCTTTAAATGCCCAGTTTATGGACTGGGGATTGTTCTGTGCCCCAGGGGTTTTCAATTAGGCTCTGGCTCAGCCTAATGAAATTATACCCTTAAAAAAGCAAAATGTGCATAACTTTTTATAAAACTGGCAATGTCACGAAAAATAGGCAAAGAGAAATAGATGTCAATTAAGTTTTATCTAATATGTTCAATCTTTTTATGTTTAATGACTGCTTCCTGTATATTGGTTATTGTAAGTATAAATATTAATATTTGTTATATTTAAATATATTTATACTATTAAAGAACAGCTAAATCTGCAGAGCCCTTACAGGCGGCTACAACTTCCAATATTACATCCACCTAACAACATGCATATCTCCTGCTTTAAGATATTTGTTGGTACTGTGGTTTTCACCAAGGGCATGGCTGCAAAGTAGATTCTCAGCTGAACAAGAGATACAGTGCATTTTTGCAGGCCTATTTATTTCTTTGCGTCCATTTGGAACACTAGATATAGAAACTGGAATAAGAAGTGTGGCAATGACAGGAATATTTTTTACAAGGCGCAGCACAAAGCTTACAAAAACTATTAACTATCACATGCGAAAAATCTCATTACATGTTTGGCGAGATGGCAGTGCGCTTGTTATTGATTTATTAATTATCTATTGATTTGTATGGCTGCCTATCTCACAGAGTGAGCGTACATAGGCAGTTCACAACATGGCATCTGAAACTAGCATCCTCAATTTTCCCAGATAGCACACTGGTTTCACAGCTTAAATGGGGTTTATTTGGGTCTTAGGTTTAGGGTCACTCCTACAGATACTTTTTGGCACACAGATGTAGAGAAAAATACATGCTATCACATGTGAGGACCTGGCTTATTTTGTCATGATTGCACATCTTCCGACAGCCTGCATTAAAAAAAATAGCCTTCCTAATAAATTCTGAAAACACTGAAAAGTGTGTTTCTATGTGTGTTCTGTTCACATGTAGTTTCTTGTGCATGTTTTTTATATCCTAAAGATTCGCAAAAGAAAGGCAAAAAAGCACGTATGAAATGACCCTTGCCTAGATTCTTGGAGAAAATGAATATGTTCAGGAAAGAGTTTTCCGAAGAGGATTTTCACACATTCTAAGCTGGTATGAAAAAAATAATAATCTTCAAATACAATTGGGAACATTTTCTACTGAATTTTGTGGAATATTTTTCATTTTGGGAATGCATTTTTGTGTGGCAAAACTGATAAGCAGATGGGCCAGGGACTTACATGCACATATTTGGGCAGCTAAATGTACAGAAATTAAGAGAGAAAACATTACAAGGAAAAGCCTATCACATTTACATGCAAAAGAATTTCAGATGCACTATTTAATGACCTTTAAAATGGGTTAAATTCAAGTGAAATACTGGAGGGAGGGGAGGAACTAATTTAAAAGCAAGGGAGTAAAATTCTATGAAATATCTGATTACAGCTCTAATATATTGTTTTCCTGCTTCAAAGTAATAGATATGCAGTAAGTGCCCAGCATCTTCTTGAAAGAAAGCCTCATACTAAAAAAAAAAAAAAAAAAAAAAAAGCAGCACAGGTATATGGTTGTTCTCCAAATTTCCTGCTTAAATTCTTGCATAATCCTCATAACTGCTTTTTATACGTCTTGAGATCAAATAATTGATGCACCAGTAGCTCCTCATACTAGCCGGGAGCGGGTAAACTTTGCACACACGTGTGCATTGTGTACACTGTGCTCAAAATCTCAGTGTGGTTTAAGATAATTTAGCAGTAGAACTACATAAAAATAAGCAGAGAAGAGCACAGACTTCCCTAAGCTATCAACAAGGTGCAGAACTTTAAAAATCCTAAACAAAACAAAATTGTAAAACATTAAGCTGTAGCTAAAAAGTTCATCCCAAAGAACCTTCCCTCATATAGCACAGCTGTGTCTTATTAAAATATGTATTATGTGTATCACAGGTGATACAATTACTCATAATATAGATTCACTTAATGTTGTTCATTAAACATGCAAAATTCATTGCATGATGCATATTCAAAAATGTATTCAACAGCTTCCAACAGCAGTTGAAGAAAACTTGTGTTACGTTTTCACTTTGATTTCTGTGGTTCCAAGTATTCTAAACCAATCTGTTAAAAGCTGAAATTATTTTTAGAAACATTCCGTAATTTCAGGCTTGACTCTGAATTCTACATCTCTATTAATTTACTGTACACTTTTTATATTCTATTCATGCAGTTTACTAAATAAATAAGTATAAATCGAAGAGTTAGGGATGTATAGATTCAGAGCCCAGTTAAGAAATATTTAGGATAAAATATTAAAACTGGCTTTACAATAAACTTGATTAGTGATGTAAATTAAATAGCAAATTGGCACCCTGGATCATAATATAATCTCATGGAGATTAAAAATAATACATATATCAGTATTATGCAGTTTTACCTTGGAGCTAGTTCATCACAGGCTCTAGTTAATATTCTATGCACATAATCTTTATTTTATACTGAAAACTTTATATTGAAAACTTATACGAAACCTTTACTTTGATCAAGTAATTTTAAAAGCTTTTATGGGCCTTCTTTGTTCATATCTTTGTTTTTACCATAGATCTGGCCAACTGTAATATTGAATAAAATTTTCTGGATTTCCCTTTATTCCATTTCTCTCTCCCCCACCCCCCAAATTCCTTATTCTTTAGTCAACTTACATTTTCATCTCTTTTTTCCTTAACCCCACATGATAGTCTCAGATTCATTATTAACTGTTTAAGAAGAAGTTTCAGAGGTACAGGAGATAGAGAAAAATAGTCAAAGTTATAAAAATGACAAAGGCTAGCAATAATCTATAAGCATCAGTGATTCCTAGATAAATACACTGGGTGATTTTCTACGTCGACACGTTCCTTGGCATCTTCCCTTCCTCGTTACCCCTACAATTCCCAGACCTGAATGGAATCAACAAGGCAAAGGTCTAAAAACTCCAGGGCTAAAGGGCAATTTCCCACTGGGGAGGAGGGCTTTCCTGAGTCTATTGTTTTTTTCATACTTCACACTGCAACATGGGATGTACAAACTGTGGGTTGACATAGGAGAACCCCTCAAAATCTGTTTGGTCTATGTTAGAAATGACCAGCTGATCGGGTGGCGTTAATACTGGTTGTCCTCTGGTAAAGAATTTGTCGAAGTTTTCAGCACCCTTGCCACACTGCAATTAAAAAATAAATAAATTACAAATTGGAAAGCAATCTTAAGTAAACAGATGCTAGACTGAGGTTATAAACTCTTAACCTGCTCTGAGGATCATAGAGGGGAAGCACATTTTTTGGTCTTGAATGAAAGGGCTATAATAATATTCTTGATACTAAAAGTCACCACTGTCTCAGGTATTACATTCAGGTGGATGAAAACTAAACCTGGTGACCGGGAATATGAAAAGTAAGAATTCTTGTGCTGACTAGGCCACCTAGTTCAACAATGGTGAACGTATTTAGAGCTCACTTGCAATATTTTTATCTACATATCTTTACATATCTTTACATATCTTTATTTGAATGTACATCTAGGACCTAGTTATGTCTGCACAAAACATTTACCGTATATCGTCGGATTTCTGCATTCCAATTATTTGGGAATACTATTACCAAGTCAGAAATATTTCAGCCTGGTGAACTATGGGAAGTCTATACAAATTGGGGCGGTGGTATATTAAACAAAGTGAGATGAAATGAAATGGGTGGTAGAAATGTCTCCATCCTGGCTGGTTAGGCTCTTCCCATAGGAAAATAATTTCAACAGAAATACTTCAAGATGTATGATCTTTTAGATAAAATCAAATCTCACTGTATTAAAACATGCAATGCCATAATTTTAAAATCCTTTAAAAATGAATTTCACAGACTTTCTGTTTTGAGTTACTGATCTGTGCTGGTAGATTTACATACTGACTGTGCTCTCCCCCAGGTCATTCTTGCTATAATATTCTAACATTCAAACAGGAACCCTGGCATTCAGAGGACAATATTCCATTTTGGTGGGGAAATATACATGAAATGGTAACTGCTGTTGCTCACAGCTGTCTTGCAGGGAGTTTTGTCATGAACACATTCATTTTTCTGCCAAAAGCACTCTCTTAATTTCTGGTTGCAGCAATCAACTGAAAAATGGTTCGAATAATACATACTATGGATTTTTTGTTGTGTTTTCAAAGGGCAAACTACTTCAGAGCAATCAAAAAAGGTTTTAACATGATGGGAATAATGGTTGAAATCCAGCCCACGTACTAAAAATAAATGCTTTACAGATTACTTCTTTCACATCCCCAGTTTATTCTGTTCCATTTTTTTAAATGGTATTACATCTCCTCCCAACATTTTTAAAAGCCTGTCTTGGTACAAAATGTAATTCAAGATCTTCTCTGTTGCCTACACTAAAGCAGAAAAAGAATAGCTTCAAGTACCTAGTGATTGTATGAAAAATAATTTGATCAAACTCTTCAAAAGTATAAATACTACTTAATCTTAGAAATATATTACTACTGGTGCTTTATGTCCACGTGGGATTTTTTTTTTTTTACATGTTAAATCATATATATTTCAACAAAAGAAGAATAACTACTGGGAAAGGAAAAATTGAATCCAAGAGCTACCATTTAAACTGACAGATTTTTGAGAAAGTGGGAAACTTCACCCAAACTACACTTTCTGAACTATGCAGTTTCCTATTACACTCCCAGCCGTCTGTTAATCAAATAAGACAGGACTTTTAGGATAATGACTTCAAGCCAATCTCATTTAGGAAATAAAAAAGGATGACTGCATACAAATGGATTAGAAGGCACCCATTAATTCCGCTAACTGATATGGAATATATTCCCACTCCATGTTTAAAATAATAAGATTTTATTAAGAGATAATCTTAGCTCTAGGAAGGGCCAATGTATAGTTATATACTAATCCCAGGGGAGAGCATGGAATAGCAGTGTTCCAATATCTAAGGGGCTGCCACAAGGAATGGGGGTGTCAACCTATTTTCCAAAGCACCTGAAGACAGAACCAAGAAACAATGGATGGAAACTAATCAAGGAGAAAACCAACCTAGAACTAAGAAAGAAATTTCCTGACAATGAGAACAATTAATCAGGAAACTGTGGGTGCCCCAACACTGGAGGTTTTTAAGAAGACCATTTGTCTGAAATGGTATAGAGTCTCCTGCTTCAGCAGCGGGTTGGACTAGAAGACCTCCAAGGTCCCTTCCAACTCTGTTATTCTGACAGACTTTTACACACCCGTTGTCCCCTGATTTTACCACAGTTTTCTGACTGATAAGGATGAATAGAATCATGCCATCACAACAAAAGTTCCATGTAATTTCAAGCAGTCAGCACTATAGGTCAGTCTCCAATTTCTGAAGATTCATGGTTCACAAAGCCCTTTTATTTTGATTAATACGAAAGCAAGAAAGTTGAAATTATCTAGCTTGTACACTGGAAAAAAATTGCTAGGTGAGACATGTTGAAGTGCTATCCCATGTCTCACTTCAAGCCCGTTCCACTCAACCTATTCATGCATCATTTCTGCCTACAAGGATCTCTCACGGGATTTGAAAGAATTAATTTTGCTTCTTCTGCTTGAGCTTATTGCATAAACCTCTTCTGTGCATTCAGAGCTGCTTTTGGGATCCTTCTCTAGGTTGCAGGTGAGAGAATAGGCCTTCCTTCTGGTGGCGCTCTGGGTCTGAATCTCTCTCTTCAGACTGCTGACTCCTTTCAGCTGGTGCTGTTTCAATTCTCCTATGTACCTTCCACACGGTGTTTTTAAATTCTGCCTTTCTTTTTCTGACAGCGTACTGTTGTATCTTCTGCAACTATTTATTTGGGTCTGCTTTAATTTTATTACACTTGTTTTGAGTGTATACAGTACTGGCACTTGCTTAAGAACCTTTGATTTGAAAAGACTACTAAATATCTAAGTAAAATAAAACTTGGGCTTTGTTATGAGACCATAGACACCAAATACTGAAAGAAACATTACTGTCCATCTCATTTACCACTTTTGGTTTGAATGGAGGTTGGATGTCTCTGTTCTCCAGTCTTTCCCAGTCAATTCTCCTAAAGAAGGCATGTTCCCTAATGTCTCTCTCTCCTTCGGGCCCACAGCCGAGACGTTTGGCAGGGTGTTTAGTCATTAACTGGAAGTCAAACGCATAAAGGATACAGTGAGATTTTTCAGAATGAGAGGAGCAGCACACAGTCAATAAAGTCGTTTTGTTTTCCTTAATATCTGCTGCTGTTAATCCTAAATGTCTATAATTCATACTGTATTGCTACATTCCAAATTGGTTGCTGTTTTATCTAAATACAGATTAAAGGCAGATTTTGTCACTTTGCTAGAAATTCAATTTTCTTTAATGTCAACAAATAAAAAGAGGAGAGATTTGAAGAAAGAACAGATACGTTTTAAAACCCAGAATTACTAAAGTAATACTCACTACCATCACTTAAAAATGTTCAGTTGATTAGAGACAATGGTAGCTGGAAAAAGTACTTACTAGGATGTATGTTTATAGACCTTTTTCTTCCCACTGTTACATAAAAATAGATGTCCTTCTTAGATATAGAAACAATTTTCCTTTTTCGTCAAGAATTAAATAACTAGCATTTTTTTTTAAAAAAATCTATATAAAAAAACCCAACTGGCCACAAAAAAGGTTGATAAATTGTATTTTTAAATTTTTGGACAGTATATCATTCTAAAAGCATAAGGTTCAACTATTGTAGCAACAAGGAAAAGAGAAAGATAGCTATCTACAGAGCAAATCATGAAAAACATGTGTGCCATTTAAAGTTTAAAAGCTGGGGGCTACATTTATCACCAATAAGACTGTATAAGATGAACATCCCTTTCCACACATAGTTTTTGTATAAGAAATTGCATGTTTTCTGAGTTATGGCGATTATCCAAGTTCTCAAACAGAAGCAATATCGGTTTATGTTAAGGAAATCATCTGTGTGAACCACACAAAGAGAAACAGACAAAAGGTCTATTTTCATTATCAGTACTGTACAAGACATTTGGCTCACCAGGACCTAGTGAGAACTGAAAATGTTTTTTTGAATTTAAAAAATAGTTATTAGGGAGGAATACATTTTATTAACTATTTTGATCGTATAAAAGTGAACCCAAGTGACAAATATTTAAAAAATCCAGATAAGTTAGGCCAATTCTATTACAACAGTGCTTAATAAAATATCAAAATTTACTTTACCCAGATAGTAACTGATAAATGCTTAATATCACAATCATAAATTCATATGTCTCAAAATAAATACAATAACATCTCAGATCAGTGCATCTTACAAGCAGAACATCTTGGATATTGATGCTCAAATTGGCATTAAATCCCTAAAACGGTTGGCCAAGAATAAAAAAAATTCCGCTTAGGAAAAAAAAAAGCATAATAATGGGTCTGGCACAGAGCCAGTGAAAGAACACAATTCGATTGTAAAATATGGGTGATTTCATTGAATACTGGACACAGAAATGAAATGCATATATGTTGCCTTAAATAGAGACAGACAACCATATTCCCCATCTCTGGCACAGTATTTAGGCTTCTAATTGAGGGCAGCTGTTTGGGACCATTTTCAAATTATCTTATTTCTTTCAGGATATAAATAAACTAACAAATCATAACTAAAGCCATCTAATGCAGGGGTGTAAAACTCATGGCATCACGGTGGCATCATGTGGCATGATGACTTTCTCATATTGCGACATCCCCTTTTCTAAACTGGGCGTGGGCGTGGCCAGCATGTGACGCATCTGGCCCACAGACCGTGAGTTTGACACCCCTGATCTAATGGATTAGGATTAAATGCAGAGATGACAAACGAATTTGAGTATTTTACTGAATACTTTATTTAGCAACTTAATACATTGTATCTATTTTGTTTTATTACGTTAATACCATGTTATGATTTGATATGGTTATTTGACTGCAGTAATCAATAGAATGAACAATAGAACCTTACCCCTTTGCAGATGGACACAGCTTCTTTGGACATTGCTTTGGGATAGGAAACATTATGCTCCATTATTGACTGAAAGAGTTCATCTTCATCCTCGCCATCAAATGGAGGCTGTTCAACGAAAACAAGGTTGACAGGACATTAAAAAACGAATGCTTACTCTGAACATTTATTCAAAAACAGATTGTTATTTCCTGCTGGCTCAGACTTCCCGTTGATCAAGCTAACTGGAGAAGCTGGGAGTTTGGGGGAAGGATGGATAACTTCCTGTTGAGTTGTAGGATGGAACCTTTCCTTTTTTGGGGTGGGAATAAAAGAGAGAACGTTTTATGCTACTTCAAAGCTTTAGTTGGCGGTCCCACCAAGTGTGCTGGCCTGTTGGAAAATGATGGTCTCCCTGCTGCTTAGGATCTACGATCCCTGGATGAAGTTACATGGAATTTTGGAATCCAATGTCACCACAATGCTGTGTTCCGACCCTCTCAATCTCAATCTAAAGAAGCTGTTCAAGTTTTTAAAAGGAACTGTTGACTATACAGTAACTATATGAAGGGAAAGAAATTGAAACATTGTCTGTTTTGGGGTATAATTTAAAGAGCAGATTATGATCAAGCTCAAAAGGATTTCCAATTAATTGGAGTATTGTATTTTTCTGTACGATCCTAACCTTATTTTAAGCTTCCTCAAAGTCCATTTCTTCTATTAGCTTAGTAAATTTTAAAGATAATAGAAGGCCTTCTTTGCAGCTTCATCTACCATCCTCCACAAATGAAGCCTATCATTGATTCTTCTACTGAGAGACAGTTTGCAACAAATATGGCTTGTTTATTTTTAATTAATGTGTGATGTGCTAAAGTGTGGGTTATGTGAGTAAATCATACTTCAGTATTTGACAGTATTTGAAAATATAATTTGTTGCCAACATATGGATCGAGAACAATATATGAATAAAATAATATGGTTGGATTTTTGGCTTTTGTCCTGCACAATCCTCAATCTGAAGAGTTGCAAGACAAAGAGTAGCTAAAAAAAAAGGAAAACAAACTAGGAATTGGTCAACAAATTAAACTTTATTTATCTGATTCATCTACAACAGGGGTCTCCAAACTTGGCAACTTTAAGGTTTGTGGACAACTCCTAGAATTCCCCAGCCAGCAGAAATTCACAAGTCTTAAAATTGTCAAGTTTGGAGACCCCTGATCTTCAAGACTGACTTGTTCTACATAATATTTTAAGACAAAATATTATTCAGATGATACATGGGCATAGCCATTGTATCACTGAAATCTTGCAGTTTTAATTTCCAGAGGATATTCAGTTGGTTTGTTAACTTGAGATTCAGCTATTAATCTTTATTTATTTTTTTTACTGTGTCTTATTTTGTCTTTCATTCCTAACTCATTTAATTGTTTAAGGCTTACCTCATGAAATAGACCTAGCTATTCTTACCTGACCAGCCAGCATCTCATATAAAAGTACTCCGTAGGCCCACCAGTCCACTGACCTTCCGTATGGTTGATAGGCAATAATCTGTGAATTCCAGTAAAAAGATTTAGTAATGTATCTTGAAAATATGTTTTTTTAAAAAGATACAACAGAAATCTAAGTGTACCACTATAAAACATCAATTTCACGAATAGCTCGGTGCATCAAAGTAAACCTTTTTTTAATGGTTGATACCGAAATCATGGATATTTTTATACTATAAAGTTACTGTATCTGAAGTGGGGGTACTTAAACTTAATTGTTTTAAGGGAAACAGGTTTCCTGAACTGGCCTAGCCAATTAAGCTTGAAGGAACTAGATTTGCCCCAATAGACCTGGATCTGTTTGACATGACTTTATTTCTGCAGTTGACTATGTTATCTGAACAGCTGCCCGGGGACAGAAATTACCTAACCCTTTCCTATACCATGGTAGAGACAATGTCCTAGAAAGTCTCAGCAAAAATGAGACCTCTCTAGATAACCTCTCTATAACTATTCTACTTTATCTTCTATACATTGAAGAAGAGATAAATGGGCAAAAATGGATGAGCATGTTGCTGTCCATAATAATATTATAAGTTATATAAGTTATTATAAATCTGTTGCATCACCACTATTTGATTTTTCATCTGCTCCAGAAAGAGGGAAAAATGGAAAATGGGAAAAGAAATGAAAGCCTAAAATAATGGCCCTGCCGTCATCACTCAGGTGCAATGGGGAATAATCCAATTGTGGGGTGGATCACTGGGTAACCTGGGCACTGAAAGAGACAATTACTCAGTGGATTCTGAACTAATGTATAGATCCAAGGGAGCATCTGATTCTGCCTACTGTCTATAGAGCTTGCACAGCAACACATCTTAGTGATGTTTCCCCCTTCCCCATTGACCCTTGAGACATATCAATACTAAAAATATATTCAGCTCCCACTAAGGAAGAAGCAGTGATTTTTTTTTTTTTCTGTCAGCAGTACTGAACCATAGTTTAAATTGGGTGATTAGGCCTTATGGAAAGTTACAATGAAAAGCACATTTTCTGGAATTATAACGATAGTTATCATTTGTGCTACTGCACTCATATTAGTCAAAGGCATCTTTTGATTAAAACCACATAGGTGCATTTAAAGAGTTCTGGATCTCTTAGCAGTAAATTCAAGTTTGAAGTCAAGTATTTTTTCAAACCCATTTTCTCACTGATGAGTAGTTAGTGATTCCCCCACCAAAGGAATTATTTATTAGATTTTTATCCTGACTTTAACAACCTTTGTTACAACTTTGTGATTAAACCTTAACAACAGCCCTGTGAGGTGGGTTGGGCTGAGAGAACTAGAAACTAGAACTCCCAGTCTCCTTCTTTTCTAGCCAGGTGCCTTAAGCACCAGACCAAACTGGCTCTCCTATCAAAGAAACAAACTGCTTTTTGTTTGAGACTTCCACTGATAAAATACTATTACTGAGAACCATAGACTAAAATTCCACATGGGCCAGCACTGGGATAAAACATGCATTGCCTTTGCAAAAGTGAATGTGCCCATCCTGTCTGGTCACTGAGAGAGGCCCTGCTGACAGTTATCACCCCTTGTCAGGCCTGGGGTCAAGTGTGAGACGATAGCCTCCACCTTATAATAATACTCTTCTCTCCTGCAAGTACATTACAGCCCCCTGTCTTGCTGCAACTCTGAAAACTAGTTAAAGGTATTTCATTTCAATGTTCTTCTGGTGCCAGCAGACTGACTATGGGCACCTATTTGGGGGCTGAAAGGATGACTTATGTGGTGATTCTTTCTTTTAGATACTGTTAGGATTTAGTTCTTCACTATTATGTGTATCTTTGTTTATTTGTTTTCTTTTGATTTGGTTAAGAATGCTGCCCCAAACCCTTTGTGACCAGGGCAGATTATAAATGCTATAAAACAAACAAGCAAGCAAGCAAATTCATTTCGAGTAGTCCTGGATTTACAACCATTCATTTAGTGACTATTTGAAGTTACAACAGTAGTGAAAAAAGTGACTTATGACTGTTTTTCACACTTATGACTTCTGCGGCATGGTCACATGATCAAAATTCAGAGATTTAGCGACTGGGGTGTGTGTATTTATGATGGTTGCAGTGTCCCGGGGTCATATGATCACCTTTTGCGACCATTTGACAAGCAAAGTCAATGGGGAAGCCAGATTCACTTAACAACCATGTCACTAACTTAACAACTGCAGTTATTCACTTAACAACAACCAGGTGGTAAAAATGGGCAAAACTCATTTAACAACTGCCTTGCTTAGCAACGGAAATGTTGGGCTCAATTGTGATTGTACATCAAAGACTACCTGTACTGTATAAGGAGTAGGCCAGAGATTTTTCCATGACGTGGTTTTGATAAAATGCTCGATTGAGGCACAAAGTTTCAGTGGAAATTTATAGGTATAATCAGGAAATCTGATTCTGAGTTTTATCAAAAATATTACTAAAATGCTCATTATGAAAGAAGAAATAAAAATCCAGAATGGCAGAATGTCATGTTAATATTAATATTAAGCTACTCTCTTTTCTGAGACTCCAAAAGAGCTTTAAAAATACTATAGTTTGCACATTTAAAATGAATTTTCATTTATATTTTAATCTGAAATATACACAAATGCAAAATAGCAGTAACTAATTCATAAAAGTGAACAATAGGTGCTGTTCAAGACACTAATTGCAAGAACATTATTTCAAAACATGAGCAACTGGAAAAGTGATTTTATTCTCTTTCTAGCTATAAAGAGAAACAGAATGGAAAGCTAAGATGGAAGAAGAAGGATTTTCCATTTTTGGCTTCACAACACTGGAAGCATCATAGCAATATAATGATGCATTTAAAATTAACCATGATATGGATTTACTTCCTTCTAAAAAAGTAACATCATCAGTGCTAGATGGGAATGAGCTTTGCTCTCTATTCAGAGATGATGTTATCTAGTTGGACAATGAAAGTCTGCAAGAAAACAACCAAGCCCAGAGAACACCAAAGACCTCACAGTTCAATTCTAAGTTATAGCTTAGCTATAGCTTCTCTTCTATCTATAGTCATTATGGTTAAATATTTCCTCTGTCGCAAACTTGGGCATAAGCATTAAGTACAAACTGTAATGAGAAAAAAATGATAAAACATGCACCATTTCATCATGATGCAAACTGTAGCCTTTCATATTTTAATACCTCCTTATGTTACACATAAGTATGTAAGCCAGAGGCTTGAACTTGCAATGTCACAGTACAGATTTCCTCATAAAGTGCCACCAACTTTATCCCCCACCCATGTCCAGAGATACCTATAGAGTTATGTAAGAATGAGTTTAAGAGATAGTGATAGAATGATTGTCAAGGTTCCGAGTAACACATCCAAAGAAAGAACATGTTTATTGGATACATTATATTGGCACGGCTTAGTGAAAAGCAACTCTAAAAGTTTCCCGTGGTTATAGCATAATTAAAAGAGTAAATGTTTCCCTCCCCAAGTGTCACAGGTCACATTGTCAAATCAAAGCAGTTGGTGGGCTCCTTGGTCACTCTTTTCCTCCTTCAACTGACACCTATTGGGATGACCTTGGTTCCCATGGGAGAGCTCTTTGTTATGTCTCCGAGATGTTCTATTTACTCTCCCCCCCCAAGAGTATGTGTCAACTATGAAGCAGCAAAAGATGGCTTCAGCCAGGTTTGATTCAGAGTTGACAGTGATAGTCATTTCATCCAGTTCCCCATCATTTTTCCTTACTAACTGGAGAGCAGCAGGAAACCTGAGTAAGTTTATCAACATTTATCACCTTTCTCATTTCCTTCGTCAACAGTAAACAATCATGTTAGAAAATCTAGCACTGATTGATTGTTCAAAAGTACATTATCTTCTGGAAGAATTATGGGCATGGTACATAATATCTCAAACAATAAATACCTCTGGTGCAATATAATCTGGAGTCCCACAGAAGGTCCTTGTTGACACTCCATCACTCATACTCTCCTTGCACATGCCAAAGTCTGCAATCTTAATATGTCCTTCAGAATCTAACATTACATTATCTAATTTCAGATCTCTATGAAAAATCACAACAATTAAGAAAGTTAAATATCAGCTGTCAGAAATGCTGGTGGCAGTCTCATTGCAAGAAATAACTTAAAACCAGGATAGCACAAAAACCATGTTTTCCTAGGCAAACCTGCTCACCTACTGAGAAGCCTTACAGACAACTTATTTGTAGGTGCCAAGGAAAATGGTGGGGGGGGGCACAATGGAGCATGTTGCCACTGGGTTGCTTATATAACTATACAGATCAAACAGTGTCTCTTAATTACCCCTGTACTGTACTGTATACAAATAGGAAGCAAACCCCACAGTTACTCACAGTGGTGATGTTACCTTCTTGGGTAATAAAATGTCTGCATGAAAACAGCCAAGCTCAGAGAGCACCAAGGGCTTCAGAATTCAACCCTGAACTACCGGTACATATATTTTCTTCTATTGTATGTCTTAAACACATACCACTCTCTCTTCCTACTGAGATATATTGGGCAAGTCCTGTTCAGACCAACTTCCTTCAGTGAAGTCAGATTTCGGATTAAACGGATAGGCTTTGGGGTCCAAATGTCTATAAAATTTACTTCATGGTCAAGAATACTAGTCCATGAAGATAAATTGCCTTCATTTTGCTACTATTCATTTTATCTGCAAGGCTGCTGCTTTGCGGTATTTCACTTCTGCATCTCTTGTAATGATATTTTATTTAAATGTATAAAATACAACTCAAATCTGACTTGATTGCTGTATACTCCAATGATTTTAGAAGATCTATTGAGAGCAATAGACTGATGTGGGTACATTTCTTTGTCTTATAATGCTTATACAAAAAGCCTTTTATATGTTTTGCAAATCTTATAGCACTGAAGACTTCTGTTAGTGCACCAAGTTGAATAAGCAACTGTGAATAAAAATAAATATGTTTAATGTGTTCTATTATTCGGGGAAATATGTGTTCCCAGTTCAGTGCTTTCTTCCCCCATTTTTGCCCACAAACATTTCTTTTTTACAACCTGTGACGAACTTGTGTTGTTACACAGAGCTGCTCTACTTACCGATAAACAATTCCTTTCTTATGGAGAAAAAAAAGACCCACTGAAATTTCTGCTGCATAGAATCTGAAAAGAAAAAAAGACTTGCTAATCAAAAGAACTTCACCTGTATATGCAAGATTTGAATAATTTATGACCATCCATTCAGAAATGTTCCTTCATGCCATTCATAGAGTAAGGTTGTACGGACTGATCTTCTCCTCTCCATCAAGTTCCCACTCGTAGATTCTGACACACTATAAAATTTGGAGGCTGATGGCTGCTATTGGACCGTTAGCCTTGCATTATTATAAAATCCAGATTGTCCTGGATTCTAGATTACAAACAGAACCTTTCCCAAGAGATCAGGCCCTTGATTTAAATGTTCACATCTCACTGGGCAAAAGGATGTTTACACAGGATTATGGGACAAGGTTAACACAATGACTGCAAGTCACAGAAGACTCCAATAATGCTATGACTCAAAGTCCTGTTATTTACAAGAGAATAGAATAGAATACTTTATTTGGCCAAGTGTGATTAGACACAAGGAATTTGAACAAATGAGGATTCCTCCTCTATGACAAGGTATTATTAATTTCAGGCAAGAACTGTGATATATTAGTTTGCTTTTCGACAATCTGAACTGTAGAGTTTATAGTGCCAGCTTGTTTCTAAATGCTTGTGATTCACACTACACCTTATTTGCTCTATGATTCACACATAGTACAATAATATAAGAAATGCAGTTCCTTTCAAAAAGTTTATTTGATTAATTGTATGAAATTAATAGAGACCGTGCTAATTAGGAATTTAATTCTTCCGAGTAGTTTAGTCCATGCAATATTGATGAGTTTTTGAAGCTAGCTTTCCTGTGAAGTAGTGTCAATTACACCAAAAAACTACAAAATATGAGTAAGGTAGGGAATGGAAAGATGCATCTTCCTAAAGCAGAATATTTTATGACAAATTCAATATAAAATCAACAGAAAATGCACTCACACTGCTTGGGGCTCCTTAAATTTTCCTACTTGCTGAATATGATACATGAGGTCACCACCATTCACATACTCCATGACAAAGTACAGGCGATCCTAGCAGACAATATGAAACCAACAAATAGGTCAAGCAGTGGACCTGCCGCTCAGGAATGGTCAATGCAGAAAATTGGGGTAAGAGTCTTAAGTGCATCTTCACAATTAGGACACAGTCACACAAATTATCAGATAGTGAAAGCAATTGTTTATTGGTCTAATTAGATCAACTTTAAAATTATGTTCTGTATTCAGATGCATATTTGATCTTCTTTCTTTTTATAGCAATAATTGTTATTATTAATTACATCAGTAAGATGAGATGGATTCCCCCAGCCCAGTTTTTAAAATATAAATAAGTCAAATTGCTTAATTCTGAATGTTCCACTTCTTTCTTTAGCTATATTGTACTGGGTTAACAATGGAAACAATTGACATTAGAAGAATCTTGCTTTTTAGGATGCAATTCCTGCATCCTCGTTTAAAGAACCTATGGCCACCTTAAATATGAATACAAGTAATATGCATTCTTTTTTGTTCCCTCTGTTAAGCTGCTATTTTCTTTTCACTATTAAGAAATGCAAACAGTAGCTTTCAAGAATGACTTTTATCAGGATGAGGGCAGCTGTTAAGCTGTGCAACTCCTCCTTCCCATTCTCCATCCGCCAAGACGGATTCCCTTGCATTCCTTTGTACATAGCAAAATAAAATAATAAAATAAAATAATGTTAGGATATTGAATTTAGTAGCTGGAGCCGTAAAGTGTATAATAGGCCAGAAAACACAGTTGTAGTTGATTGGTTAGAGAGTGCTGACTCATGTATGAGGCAATCTACGCTATGATTGGTTGCTGTAAGTATAAAGGGGAGTTTCCCTTTTTCCCCTCCTTTTTCTTCTGTGTGTTTGTATACTGTTTAATTTACCCCATGATGTTCCTGTGTTCCTGATTATCTTGTGTTGTTTCTTTCTGGATGATGACAAAGACTGCTGTCAATTTGAATGTTAAATATATTTATATATAAATTACTGTCTCTCCTAGAAACAGATCTCTCTGGATCCAATGCTAGTAATTTGACCTTATATTGTTTAGGGGATGGCTCCTCACACATTATGACGAAGTCTCATTCGTCATCTTCAGGCTGGTGTTTTTGGCTTCGTGCTTCTAGGAGCCGAAAACACCAGCCTGAAGATGACGAATGAGACTTCGTCGAAACGTCGCCAAGACACTTCCAATTTTACGCGGGAGAAAACCCGGATAACCAAAGACCTACTATATATATATATATATATATATATATATATATGTATGTATGTATGTATGTATGTATATGTATATGTATATGTATGTATGTATGTATATATAAAATAAAATGCAAGGAATGTCAACCATGTCCATCCATCCATCCATCATCTAGCAGATATTCAAAAGAAATGCTAACCAACTGATGGTTTTCCATTTCTTTCTGCTGATATATAAATAGATCAGCTGACAGAACTATTGTATATTATTTATCTCCATACCTCACCCCATTTTTCACTGACACAGTTCAAAAGCTCTGTGATGTCAGTACAGCAAACACTGTGTGTGTTAGAAATCACAGCAGAAGGAAGACATATGAACACATACCACAGTCTGGAAGCAAGAGTGAAGCTGCGTTAAGAAAGGAGGTTTGTCCATCAAAGCTAGAACTCGCTTTTCAACCATGGTACACTCTACATCATCATCTTGAATCACCACGTCTTTTTTCAATATTTTGACTGCATACAATTCTTCTGTTCCCTTTCGTTCTGCGAGCATCACCTGAGCAAATATAAAGAGAAGGTGAATATTTTGCTGACTACTAGTAATTTCCATTCAGTTGTGGATGGAAAAGTTTTTCTAGTAATTCAGTTCCCTACATATATTCATTAACTTGCAGCCTAAGAAATCTGTTTTGTTTTTTCAATGTAGCTCTCCCATTTCTTACATAAAAACTACTATTCCAGATGCTAAGATGCTGAGCTTGTCAAGCAGAAAGGTCGGCAGTTCGAATCCCTAGTATAGGTCTCCTGCGTGAGCAGGGGGTTGGACTAGATGACCTCCAAGGTCCCTTCCAACTCTGTTACTAACTATTCCAGAAGTTCATAAAAGGGTGAATAAGGCCCTAAAATTGATATTTTCCTGCATGTTGATCCTAATTGGATCCTAATCACCACCTAGTTTTTAAAGAAATTTTTGGGAGATGAAATAGCACAAGAAATTCTTATTATGTCATTGGAGATGAAGAACAAAGCTGATGGAACACTGGTCTAAAAGCCTCTGATAAGGATTACACAGTGACAATAAAAGCAGCAAAATGCAACTATTTCTCCACTCTTATTGTGTCGGTGGATTGTTGTCCAGTGGCTCTCCTAGGAAAGGATTGGTTAGGATACCTTTGAAGGATTGCTATGAGGACTATTTGAGGCATCTGCAGAAAAAGTTTATTGGATTCATTCTGGGTTGGTTTACAGCTGTTCAGATTCAGCTAAGTGAGATATGGATCCATCAATGTTATTTGGAAAGGATCTGTGCCTGTTGGCCCTGAGAAAATTAAGGGGAGCACCCCTGCATGTTCGAATTCTAGCTCATCAAAGCCTCCTAGGAAATGATCTGCAGGTGGGTCCAACCAGTAGTGAGAGAGAGGTAGTTCTGCCTTCAGTTAAGGAGTCATTGCTAGACCATACAGTGTTGGATACTTTTTTTATCTGTCTCCAACTTTCTCTTTCTGGAGAAGGTGGTTGAGAAGGTGGTCACCCTGAAGCTTCAGAAAACTCTGGAGAAAGTGGATTGTATGGACCACTTCAATCTAGTAGAACAGGATGTAGCACTAAGGTGGCATTGATTGCACTTTTTGATGACCTGCAACTGGTTCAGAATGGGGTGTGTGTATCCCACCTTGATCTCTCAGTAATACCATTGATCATGGTATCCTTTTAGACAAGCTCAAGGGGTTCGGGATAGGTGACACGATGTTACAATGGTTCTGCTCTTTCTTTCAGGGTCAATTTAAGTTAGTGTTGATGGAAAAGAGAGGTCTGGCCCTAAGTCTCTACTGTGAGGGGATGTATCTCAGGCATTAGTTTTGTTCCAGCTCCTGTACATGAGGCTGCTGGATGAGATCACTTACTGTATCAGTACGGCGATAGGCATAATCAATGTGCTAATCCTACTTAAAGATCTCAGTGCTTGGCTGCCTAAGGTCTGGGTTCCATATCTTAAATAGTGTCTTCTGGTGGGACCAAGGAGATGTGTCTTTTCTGACACTGCATCTGTCCTCCAGAAGAGCACTTTCCCTGAGATTTGAATAGCCTCAACTGTACCTGTCTTTTAAGACCCAGCTTTCTCCCCTCAGGTCAGGATCAACGGTTGTTATTGTTTAGTTTTTATCTTCCTGCCCTGAAGTGCACATGATTGGGTGCCTATATAAATTGATTAAATAAATGGATGAATAAAAGAGTCAATCATCTCGCCTGTATGTTTCTTGATATAAAAATGACATATTATTAAATGGATTATAATTAAGATGCACAAAATAGCTTCTTTTGCGGAAAACAAGTTTCACAACTCATTTCTTTGCACCTCCATCAAAGCACAAAGCATGACACCTCATTAACAGCTAGACTATATTTTGCTAATTTGCATATTCTAATTTTAACAATTAAAACTTGAGGTTGCTTAAAGATAGGACAAAAATATTCTTGGAAGGCTAGTAGTAGTCTAGTTGCCAGCTGTTTATATAGTAGATTCTTGAGCAAATACTGTACATACAATATATTCTCCAAATCAAATAAAGTTTTCAAAGCAGTATTTACCTGACTCTCAAACTGTACAGAAGCATGATCCTGAATAGCAAGTTTCATTATGCTTACACTAAACCTTTATTATATTTACACTAAATTTTATATATGTCTCCTCAGAATTAAATCCCACTGAATTTAGTGAAACTAATTCCTCATGAAAGCAAATGTAGGATTGTAGGCATGTAGGCAAATATTGGATTGCAGCTATGTTAACAGAACAGCTAAAGGAATTATTAATAAATCAACTGTGTCTCTAACATTTCTCCCTTTCAGATTTAAAATAAAATCATTGAATCATTGGGTTGGAAGATACTTTGGAGGTCTTCTAATGAAATTTTAGACCATTCTAGACAATAGCTGTCCAATCTTTGTCTGAAAACCTTCAGTCTAGGTTCACCCATGAGTTCAGGAAGCAAGTGGTTCCACTGCTAATAACTCTCCTTTATCAGGATGTCCCTCCTCTCTATAATTTTTATAGAGTATTTTCCCCCCAGGAAATCTTGACACCCTGGAAGTCTGAGGAGATTCTTTACACCTGAAGAACTCCTGCTTAAGCTATTTCTGCCAAGTCTACATTCAAAGTTCAAGGCCCTACATTCAAGGGCCTTGGTAGTACAGTGGTCTAAAGCACCCTGTTATTAACACAGCTGCCTGCAATTACTGCAGGTTCGAATCTTACCAGGCTCAAGGTTGACTCAGCCTTCCATCCTTTCTAAGGTAGGTTAAATGAGGACCCAGTTTGTGGGGGCAATAAGCTGACTTTGTATAAATATACAAAAGTATGAAGGCTATTGCTTAACGCATTGTAAGCCGCCCTGAGTCTCCGGAGAAGGGCGGCATATAAATCAAATTAAAAAAAAAAAGTTTGTTTTAAACTTTGTTTTAAATTACAAATATGTCACTGCATTTAAATTATAAATATGTTGTTGATTTTTAATTTCAAACCAGAAATTATAGGTTCAGGAATGGTATGAAAAACTTTTCATTATTCCTAACTTTTGATTGAGCTTATTCTGCATTACTGTCTGCGCAATGAACATATGCACCATAACTTTGGGAGTGTTTCGGGGAATAGAGTGTCTGGATTTGGGTGCCAGATTAGTTCTCCCCCCCTTTTTTTTCTAGACCCAGAAGCATTACATCCCTTCCATATTTCATTCTTGTTATTTGTGTATATATTTTAGAAATGGTATTGTTTATAAAGAACCTTGCAAATTATCAATACTTCTTACCTTCCCAAAGCTCCCTTTTCCAAGCACCATTATAAAGTTGAAGTCTGTTAGTTTAACCCGATCAAGATTATTGGATGGTAAGTTACAAGTCCGGTCTTCAATTGGAGATATAACTTTGTTAGCTGATGGGCCAAGCCTGGCTTTCTAAACAAACAAAGAAAATGGCTGTCAGACCTACAGTTTGGTTTTAGAAATGATGAAAGATCAGGTTAAGTTTGAAGGTTTATACTTTCAGAAGATACTTCATAGTAAACAGTGAACAAACACAAATTCAACTGCCCATTCAAATATTTCAATTATGGATATAGTTAAAATGATATAAAGTAGTACAGAAGTAGAAGCAACACCTTTGAGGGGTGGGGGTTAACAAAGCAAAGTCCAAAGAATGTAAGTCATTACTTTCATGCTAAAATTTCAAAATTCAATTACCATTTTGTCCCCTTTTCAATCATGAACAGTGTTCAAAATAAAATGCAGGGCTTATCCTAGGTATCGCTTACCTGTTCAGATGTAAGAGTCTCATTCAGTTTAAAGTATTTTATTCTCAGAGTAGGATGGCAGCTTGAATGTAATAACATACTAAACATTTTAATGATTTAGTTGAAATTCACACTTCTTACAAGCAGTTTGTGATGCTTTTTAAAAACTTTATCTGAATAGATAGCATACTGAATAAATCATTGCCAATTTTCAAGCATCATAATTTATATCTAATCAAATGCTGATTTCAGTGTAAAAACATTGCATTCAAAACCTTTTGGTAAGATTTTTGGCTTGCAGAATCATACACTGGAATAACTAAAACAGCAGATCTTTATATAAAATGTTTTTCAGTTCACGTTGTGTCCATTCACGAATGTTTGCAAAGTTCACCTCCAAGAACATTTCTACCTTAAAATCCAATTGCAAACTTCTACTATTTTATTTCACTATTTTTTATTTGCATGGGATTTTTTAAAAAAATAACTGGAAAAATCTATGTATAGAACGAGTCATATATCTTTCTTCCTCTCTCCCTCCCCACCCCTCCCCCTCTCCCCCTACCTTTCCTGTACTATTGTGTAGATGCTATAATATAAATGCAAAAAACTGTCAGCTCTTGAAAAAGTTAGAAGAAGAAGGAGGAGGAGGAGGAGAAAGAGAAGAAGCTGCTCAGGAATGTAGGATATCGGGAGCTGAGAAACATTTGTGATGTTTTCATGGCAAGATTTCCCTAAAGCCTCCCACACAACCATCCCATTGTAAGCAATCGAAACTCATGAAGCACACCAGAATACACTTCTGGGTGTACCTTGGGGTGGGCATGTGGGATGTCTTAAGTGATGTATTAGTATTAAACAATCATCCGATTAAAGAAAAGACACTGAAAATTTTGACAATTTAGTTGGAGCAACAAGCTCACAAAATCATAAGAGTTATGTTAAGAATTCATACCACATGTTCACCTCCATTATATTCTATATTGTGAGAGGACAGGCTGCCAGCAAAATGGCCAGCACCTGGGCCACTGATGGCCTGTCCCTTTAACACCTGTCCCTAACCAGCCCAGAAGTTGGTGGCTATAACACATGAGCAGAGAGGCAGCTGGATGTGGTAGTGTTGCTGTGAGAGGGAAGGCTGTTGTGTTTGTTTGGGATGCTAAAACAGCCTGAAGCAGCATAAGGCAAATAGAAGCATGACTGTTCTTCAGGCTTGCAATGAGGAACAGGAGTTGTAGTTTTGGGGAAAAGTGGTATAAGTAAACAATGAGTACTAGCCTTAGAGTACTTGTGGATGTGTTGCTTAGATGCCTGATGGGGTTGTGTTGGCTCTCTGGGATTGTGGAGCCCACTAATATGGAAAGTAAAAGAACCTGTGATCTATGCTGAAGTCAAAATTAGAAACAGTACATTTTAAACATATTCAGACAATGTTGTAGTTACTATGCTGTGCAATTTATTCAACAAGAGTGTCGTTCAAGAGCAAAGGCCCCCTCCTGGATCCATTCCTGAAAGCTACAAAGCAATCAAGTTGCTTGAAATCTGACCTAACATAGTTGCTTTGAGACGCTCCTGCCCATCACGAGAATGGAAAAGCAAAGCAAATTGAATTATTTACATATCCTTAGTAATTCCAATTCTTGACCTAGGAGGTTCTTACAAATTTTTGGCTACAAGTGAATGAATCTTTAAAAATCACGTTGTTCAGAAATTAGTATTGATAAGAAAACAAAATAAAGAAGAAAATTTAAAGGTCTTTTAAAGGTCCTTTGAAACAACACTACGTAAGAGTATGGAAAGCATCAAGAGATATTATGTCCAAGGAATCCCTGTTGCTCTGTGATATCTTCTATTTCCCCAAATATACAAGCATTAGATTGTTTATCAAGAAATGTTTTGAAAAGTACAATGTAAATATCCACAGTCCAGAAATACACTACAAAAGAGTTACTGTTGGAAAAGTTAGATACTCGAGCTGGATGTTGACAGTGATGCTACATAATATGTAATTTTTCTTCTCCGATTTCAAAATGATAATATAGAACCTGTCCAGTTCCCACAGTTGGTGACCCACTGCTGTTGAGGAATAATCCCCCACATTACTTGAGATTGAACAGAAGAATTAGCCAATTTTAGTTTCCATTTTGGAATTGTTGAATATTATTGTCCAAGATACACATCTTAACTTAAGCCATATAATTAGCTATTCTTTGTTGTTATGAAATGAGCTTAGAACATCATAATCCAATGAATTATTGACATATTGAAGGCAAGTGCAGGGATATAAAATATTACTCAAAACACAAAATACAATTAACATGTTCTCATTTTTAGGAAACAAAATATGGTTAATCATTGTATCGTAACATGTAGTGCATATTTTCCCAGTCTTAAAAGATTTATAGTTTTAATTAAATTACCATTTGAAAGTCAAAAACTAATTTCCTGGAACAATTTTACACTATCTCCACAAAGCACCGTGCAAACACTTGGTAATTATATTATGCTTATTTCTTGGGTGATTCCCTCCACCTGCCACACAACCCCAACTGCTGGTTTCAAAAACACTTATTTCAGACAATGGGCATAAATAAATTGCTCATTGTTCTACAACTACAGGAATCTAAAATATTGCATTCCAGAAGACATGTGTCCTTCAGTCGTGGTTTCTAACGAGGACAGATGGCTTACATTTTCAGGAAGACATTTTCCCCTAACGGGGGGAAAGGAATGAGTTCTGAAAATTTTGACTGCATTTCAAAAGAATTAACATGCTGCATATTTAGTGAAGACATGCATAAAGGTAGAAGAGAAACAGGAAGTGGAAAAAGAACAGTTTTAATAGGCAGCAAATAGTTAGGCAGCAACAGAATCCAATTCCGATGAGAAATGACCATTCAGTTTAAAGACTATTAACTGTGACCAAACAACATAGAAAAAGAATTTAATTAATTTAAATTAATTTAAATTTTTAATTTAAAAGAATTAAAAAGAAAGTTTAATTTCTAAACTTTCTTGGCAAGTTGAAGAAGAAACAGGATACCAAACAGACCAGTTAAGACCAACATAGTAATAGATAAACATTCTAACATAGATCTTCATGAAAAAAAAAAGTCTTTTAAAAGTATTTCTCTCATAGTATTGGTTGTAAAGAACACAGGGACCTTTCAAAAACGGAATCACAATACTTTGTCACACTCTATTACAAGCCAGATTTCACTGTGCAGTGTGTAACACACGCTAGATAATTCTTGAGCCCATGCAGGACACTTGCATTTGTCTTAGTGAGCGGAGAATTTTAGATATTAATGGGACTAGTGTGCGCATAATCTCAAGTTTATATGGCTGTCAATCTCTCAAAAATTGACTCCAGGCTGTGTGCTTCAATTAATAAAATAATAAGTACATAAAAACAACCATTATTAAAAAATATATGTTTAATACAGTCAAAACTATGTTTAATAAAAGATGCCTCTGCTCTTTGGTTTCTTATATAGGTATTTTTTTTAAAAATAGGCAGATTCTGTATGCACTTGTAGACCAACACATCATATAAAATCCTTGTGCCAACTCTCACAGCCAAAGTGTGAGCTGAGTAGGACTTCTATTACCACTGCTATTTTACCTTTAGTCTTCTATAAAATATGGAAGGGGCTTAAGTTCACCTGTGTCCCTTTTCAGGTCACAGGTGAACTTTGAACTTGTTGATGAACTTTCGTCAGATACCAGAGTTTGTTTTTGTTAGCACTGGTTTCTACGTTAGTACAAGCATCAAGTATCAAACTGTTCTGGAGACAGCTACATGCATTTCTCCTGTAATATGATTAGGGCCCATTTTGCATGATTTACTATAGGAATTAATATTCTTAGTACATTCAAACAAACAAACAAACAAAAACCCCACACAAAACCTTTTACTGCAAACTCAAACCTAGGTTTTCTTTTTAAAATTAGTTCTAATGAGAGAAGAAAAAAACCAAGACATGCATGTAATCTTACTTTCTTTGGTTTGGACGCACCTTATCTTGGACCTTTCTTTTACCCTGTAACCACAGGCAAGACACACTTTATACATTTTTAACTCTAAGATATAAACAATATGGCTATGAGAAACAAACTCAAACACACTTCTACCTATTATAGCAATAGCAATAGCACTTAGACTTATATACCGCTTCACAGTGCTTTACAGCCCTCTCTAAGCTGTCTACAGAGTCGCATATTGCTGACAATGATTTGGGTCCTCATTTTACTGGCTTCGGAAGGATGAAAATCTGAGTCAACCTTTAGCTGGTGAGGATCGAACCCCTTGGCAGTCGACAGTTAGCCTGCAATACTGCGTTGTAACCACTGCGCCACCACAGCTCTGTAACTAGAGAGGCCAACTTCATCATGTCTGTTTCTCAACTTGGAAACCCTGTGTAAATCTCTTTCATGTATCCCTTAATTTAGAACTGATGGAAAATTATGATCTTAATGGTGCATACGTAACCACAAATTCTACCGCATCAGAAATAGGAGGGAGGGGGGAGGGAGGGAGGGAGGGAG